GACACCCGCTGCAGGGCGCCAAGGGGAGGGCGCGGGGACACCCAGATGCAGGAAACCAAGGGGAGGGCGCGGGGACACCCGCTGCAGGGCGCCAACGGGAGGGCGCGGGGACACCCAGATGCAGGAAACCAAGGGGAGGGTGTGGGGACACCCGCTGCAGGGCGTCAAGGGGAGGGTGCGGGGACACCCACTGCAGGGTGCCAAGGGGAGGGTGCGGGGACACCCAGATGCAGGAAACCAAGGGGAGGGCGTGGGGACACCCGCTGCAGGGCCTGGGCTAGACACAGGGTGGGAAATTACCAAGCACACGGACAGCCCCTGCAGGGTCCGGGCATGCACTGGGTGTCAGCAGTGACCCTGTGGGACTTTCCTGCGTGGCCACCAGCAGGATGGACGTGGCCTCCCATGCCCATTCCCCAGACCCCTGGTGCATCTAAAGCTGTGGGGTGGGTGGTTTACCACCTCTCCATCCTGGGGTCTAATGCATCTGCCAGCCCACAGCACAACCCAAGCTCCCTTCTCTGATCTCTGATAATGGCGCCTGGGGGAGTTACAGCAACTGGGAGACATTCAGAGCAAGAAGCAGTCCCTGATGCCAGGGCCACAGCAAGTGCATGGCCACCAGTGCCCATCACCAGCAGCAGGCTCAGGGTGGACAGGCGTAACGCTCAACAGACACATCCGGTCAGCAGGGAGGCAAGAGCAGTAAATGACAAACAGACATAGAAGACATCAGACATACAGAAAACAGTCCAACGGCAGGTACAAATGCAACTGTGCCAACAATGACAGCCAAAGGACCAGATCACAAACAGAAACCGCCAGACTGGACTAAAGAGAAAAGGAAGGACCCAGCTACGCTGTCTACAAGTGACCATTTACACTGAGACACAAATAACTGGAAGGCAGAAAGGTGGCAAAAGATGTCATAAGCACATATGCATCTAACAACACAGCCCGAAAGTCTACAAAGCCCAAAACGGACACAACTGAAGGCAGAAACGGACCGTTCCACAGGAAGGTGAGCAGACTCCAACATCACACGCTGCTTAATGGGAAATCAGCAGGGCAGGAGGCAGAAGGGCAGCAAGGAAACAGAAGACGTCAAAAACCAACCGAAGAAAACCAAACCCACTGCCGTCTAGTCGCCTGCGACTCAGAGACCCCTCCTCGGGTTGCTGAGGCAATATCTCTACAGAAGTAACTAGACCTAATTCATCTCTGGAACGCACCAGGCCTGCTTCTTAGGGGTAGGTGGGATATCTTGTCATCTTCATGACCAGCCATGTTAGGCCACAAACAAGTCTCGATAAATTTAAAAGGAATCTCACAGAGTATGTTTTCTGACCAAAATGGGATGGAATTAGAAATCAACAGGAAAAAATAAAATAAGGAATTCTACAAATATGTGGAAATTCCACAACACCTAAATAAACAATGGGCCACAGAAGAAATCCAAAGGCAACGTAGAAAATACTTGGAGATGAATGAGAAGGAAGGTACAACACAGCACAACATGGGATGCAGCTAAAGCAGCGCTGAGAGACAGATTCATAGCCGTAAGTGTCTATCCTGACAAAGCAGTAAGATCTCAGATCAACAACCTCACCATTCACCTTCATACACTGGAGGAGGAAGAGTAAGCTGAACCTAAGGCAAGCAGAAGAAAAGAAATGACAAGGATTAGAGGCAGAAATGAATGAAATGGATAAAAGAAAAGTCAACAAAACTAAAAGTCAGCAGCACAGGGAGAGGTGTGATCCATCAGTGGGCCGATGGGCTTTCTCTTCCACCCTGGCCTCAGCAGCTCCAAGAGGAGCCCAACAGAGAAAGGGAAGCACAGCCCACCTACCCCATCCTATGCCGTAGTAGTAGAGGTGCTTGCTGTCCTCAGAGCCAAAGACCTTGATCACCATGCTGTACAGATGCAAGCCCTCCACCAGCATCCACGCAAAGGCACTCAGGAAGAAGTAGTGCAGGAGTATGGCCAGGACCTGGCACGGGGTCTGGGAGCAAAGACAGAGGGTGAGCCTTCTCTGGGCATGAGCGCTGGGCATGTCTTGTCATCTGGCCTCCCAGTATCTGCTTCCTGGTGGCCATCTTCTGGTCACATGGCCCCATTTCTTCCTGTGGAATTACTGGTTCCCATCCACTACTCACCCCACCCACTACTCACCCTAGACTAAGTGATGTGGGTGGAGCAGGTGACTCAGGCTAGCCAATCACTGTGCATGGCCCTCAGGCACAGCAATTGGTTCAAGAGAGGCACAGGGACCAGGACCAGCCAATCAGCAGAGCTGCTTCTGGAACTGGCTTCCATTTGGCAGGGTTTCATGATTTCACAAAGGAAATCAGAGACCTGGAGTGTGTGAGTGTATGTGCATGTGCATGCACATACATGCATGTGTGTATGCACACATATGTGTACATGTGAATATGGGCGTGCATGTGAGCATACATATGAATGCTTACGTGTGTGAGTGCATGTGTACGTGTGTGTACATGTATGACTGCATTGTGAGTATATGGGTCAGTGCATGTGTGCGCTCAAGTGTCAACCCTTGTGTATGCATGTGTGAATTTGTGTGCAATCTCTCATTTCAGATACTGCTTTTTAAAAAGCCCAGACTGCTGACCAGGTGTGGGTTTCACTGTGACATGGTGAGAATGTCCTGGATGCAGGGAGGTGGTCGCTGTACAACATTGTGACTGCACTAAGTGGCACGGGCCGTTCAGTTTACAATGATTCACTTCAAGCTATGGGACCCTCATGGTCATCTTAAAAGCAAATTCACGAGCTGTGTGGGGACACATGAGATGAGTCAAGGGCCCACGGGCAGCTGAGCGCTGACCCACAGGAAACTGCCTCTGGCCCACGGTTTGACCTACAGAACAGTTGCCCTGACACAACCCCAGGGGATGCACATGGTCCAGCATGTGCTCCAGGCTCAAGGTTGGGGTAACCCGGAAGGTCACCTGTGCCAGGACACCCCGGGGGCTCACCTGCACCAGGGTGACCAACTGGCTCCCACAGCAGGAGGGCAGGAGGGGCCCTTGCCTGGGGCGGGGGAGGGCCACAGCCAGGCCACTGGGTTACGGAAGACAGCAGGAGGAGGTGCCCCTTTGGGGCTGCTGCAGGAGGTGGGCAAGGGCCTTGTGGCCGTGGGGGGACGTGGCCTCGAGGGCTGGCAGTCGACTCACCTTGCCCGGCTCTAACTGGAAGCTGGTGAGCAGCAGCAGCTGGGCCACCAGCACAGCGAAGGACAGGTTGGCGTGGATGTGGTAGCGCTGGCTCCTGATGGTGCTGACAGAGCTGGGGGCACGGGGGCGTCAGGCCGCCAGTGCCAGCTGGGCCCCACCCCACGGCTGCCTCCACACCCACTCGGGAAAAGGGGGTAATGACACCAACCGCGGCGGGCTCCCTGTCCTGCAGGGGCTGGCCCCGCCCCGACGCGCTGTGTCCTCTGTGTGGCTCACGCTGCCCCAATGCCCGCCACCAGCCCCTGGGCCTTTGCACCTGCCTCCCTACCCTGGCCCCTGCCTGACGCCCTCCTCCCTTTCTTCACCCAGAGCTCTGACCACCAGGTGTCTTCATGCTTTTGTCTACGGGCTGTTCAGCCAGCGGTCCTCCCAGGAAAGGTCTCCCCACCCTCCCAGCACCCTCTGCTCGGCACAGCCCCAGGGGCCAACAGCACTGACCCGAGATGCACTTGGGGGGAGAGGGGGGTCCTGGTGACAGTGCCCCCTGGCAGGTCAAAGGGCCAGAAACCCCTGTGGGCTGGAGGGACCCAGTACAGGGCAACAGCGCAAGAGGACTGCGTTCCTCGAAGCCAGGTGCCCACTCCAGCAGTCCCCAGGTCGCGTGGCACCCAGCCCTGCCAACACCCGCTCTGATGTGAGAGGGGCTGGGGCAGCCTTCTGGCCACAGCACGTGGGCGCACGCAGCAGGGACAGTGAACACCTATGAGGCTGTGGAACCCCCACCTGGGGCAGAGGGGGACTCACGAGAGGATGACGAAGGTGGCCAGCGTGGCGGTCAGGCAGAGCACGGACAGGGAGCAGCCGACGTAACTGATGGACGACAGCGCCACCTGGTGTCCAGGCGCCAGCTGCGAGGGAGCAGAGTGAGTCAGCCGGGCCAGGAGGGGGAGGGGCCCAGCGTGAGCGGAGGCGGGGCGCAGGGTGGAACCCACGTGAGTCCGGGCAGCTGCTGCCTGCCCCGGGACCACATCCCGCCCCAGCGCCCTGCTTCACACCTGCAGACACTCAGCCTTGGTTCCTGCCCGCGACTCGGTGCCTTGCAAAGGTTCCATAGGTTCTGCAACCTCTCAGCCCCTCTGTCCTCTCAGTCTTTCCCCTGCTACCCACCCGACCACCCTACTCCAAGCAGGGCATCTCCCCTACCTGGCCAGGTGTCCACTCCCCCCGGCCAGGTGTCCACTCCCCCCGGCCAGGTGTCCACTCCCCCCCAGCCAGGTGTCCCCTCATACCCATCCCTCAGAGATAGCCCTCCTTCCATCCTCAAGGACCCTGCTCAAGCCCTCCTGCCCACACCCCTGCCCACCATGCCCAGACTTCAGCAGACACAGTGGTGAGGGGTGTGGGGTGCGATCAGGAGGCTGGGCCCTGGAACCAGAGTTCCTGGTTCAACTCCTGCTCAGCCGCCTCCCAGCTGAGGGGGTGGACAAGTTACCTGAAGTCCCCGTCCCAATGTACTCATCTGTAAGCAGAAAGTCACGCTAGCATTCACCTGGCAGGGTGACATGAGTGCACATGTATACCAGGTGCGCAGAGGACAGTGCGGATGGATGCCATCACGCCCGCCTCGAGGGTCCCCCACTGCCCCGGCGGCCAGCGCGGCGAGCCTCAGGGACCAAGCCTCCTTGTGAACACACCACCTGTGCGAGGCCTCACACCTAAAGGCAAGGCAGGTCCTTTCTCCACACCCCAGCTTTGCAGCTTTCAGAGGGTGAAGGGAGACACCAGAAGCCAGCCAGCTGTGGGGCTTCAGGCACACACCTCACCTCTCTGCACCTGTTTCCTCACAAGCCAGGTAAGAACAGCACGTCCACTTCCCATTAACGAGAGAAGACACCTGAGGCTGCCGGAGGCTGTGAATGTTGCTTAGGTACCAGGTAAAGGATGATGTTGGGACAACAGGGGCTCAGCGTCTCAGGTAAGACAACAGGGGAGGGCTCAGCGTCTCAGGCAAGACAACAGGGACCTTGTGTCTCAGGTAAGACAATGGGGGGGGGGAAACTCAGCATTTCAGGTAAGACAACAGGGACCCCACGTCTCAGGTAAGACAACGGAGACCCTGCGTCTCAGGTAAGACAACGGGGGGGGGGGACTCCGCATCGCAGGTAAGACAACGAGGACCCCGCATCTCAGGTAAGGACACTCCTTGTCCCTCTGAGGATGGTGCTCCCTCCCCTAGGCTCATCTCCCCCACTGAAAACTCGAAATCTCTAGATGTAACCATACTATCCAAGGACAGCTGTCTTTCAAAAAGTGAAAATAAACAAGTAAGAAAAAATCAGGTGAAGGAAAAACAAACGGGGTGAGCTGACCAGAGCAGAGTCGCAGAGGACAGGGGCCAAGGCCCAGCTCAGCCACCAGCACAGCCCGGACGGGGCTCACCCAGGCAATGGGGTCCCACCTGTGCTGGGGGAGGACAGCCCCACTCATCCGACCCCACTGCAGCTCCACCTTGAGGGTCCTCACCCACTTCTCAGAGCAGAAGGTGAGGGGCAGAGCAGCGACCTACTGGGTTTGCCCCAGGCACGGGGGGACCACTGCTGCCTACAGCCCATCAGCCTGACCAGGCCGTACACTTGGGTATGGTTGCATGTGCGCCCCAGGTGCAGAGACCCCAGGGAGCAGCCTGCTGCCTGCCCCCGTGCCCATGAGCGTGCGGCCCTGGGTGCACACCCTCAGTGCAGCTGAGACATCGTGTGACCTGGGCTCCGTGCCTACGCCCTCCCTGGGCCCAGCCTTTGGGTGGCTCAGGTGGGCTGCTGGGGCCTGGCAGGGTAACCACCATATGCGGTTCCCTGTTCACCATGTTGAGACAAGCTGAGCTCTGGTTGGACGGCCGAGAAGCGACCTGCCTGGCCCAGGAAGGCGTGGGGTGCCCTGACCATGCCCTTCCTCCCCACCCCACAGCTAGATTTAGAAAGGCCTAGAGTTTGTTTCAGGACATGAAGCCTTTGAGTCACACACCACAAACTCAAGTGCCCCTAAGAGGCACGGCACACAAGGCCAGAAGGCCGGTGGGAGCTACCGTGCACAGTCCAAACAAGCAGGGTGTTCTCCCGAGAAGGACAGTCTTATGCCCATCCGTGGACAGCAAAGTGCCTCTCGATGGAAGTGTCGCTTCCCACCGTGGATGACAAGACACACTGTCCTGTCATCCTAAAAGCAGAACAGTGAGAGTGCAACGATGGCTGACGACTGACACGGGTGTGCGGCAGGAACGGGGTGGGGGCACTGCCCACTGAGGACACCAGCGTTTCACACTCACGGCCCCAGTGCCATCCTGTTCTCACTTCCCCTTCCCGAGGGTCCAGACATCCCCTCACAGCCGTCCTGTAGCTCCTTCCACAATTCGGGCAACAAGCATCAGGTGGGACATGAGAGATCACACACACTGTCCCTTTGTGGGCCTGGCAGAGTCCTTGCCAGCCATAGCCTGTGTGCCACAGGCCAGTGAGGGTCAGAGAAGACAGCAGGCAGGGTCCCCCCACAAAGGGAGGGGCAGCAGGGCCTGGGGGAGCAGAGAAGGCCAGCAATGCGGGTGGGGCCCATGGAGAGTGGGGTCTCCCCTCTAGTCCCTCCAGCCAAGGAGAGACTTCACCCCAGACTCTCCGTGTAGATCACGGGAGGCCCTGGGAACTGTCTCCATTTGCAGCGCTATTTAGATGGGTGATGGAAGGATGGTGGACAGATGGACACACACACACAGATACAAACACAGACAGAGAGGGAAAGAAGGAGACACCAGCCCCTGGCACACGGCAGCTCCCCAGTCGGCAGGTGGGGACAGAGGCCATCTCCTCTCTCAGACCCACAGCAGCTGGGATTTCACTCACGTGCCCATCTCTCCACTAAATTATAACGCCCTGTGCTCTGTCAGCCAAGTCCAGGTGGACCAGCTCCCCGGATCCTGGCGGAGCGCCTCATGTACAGTCAGTATCAACACACTGCTGGACCAGAAATCAACCAGTCCATCCATCAGTGTGCCATGGGGCAGCAGGGCAAGACTGGGGCAGGCAGTTCCCATGGTGCAGGGGAGACCACCGAGGACACGGTCAACGGCCGCTGGCCTGGGCAGACGCTTTGTACATGATTATGTCAAGAGGTGCTGTGCTGCTCTGATCGTGAGATGCACCGTTCTTCCAGACTTGGAAGAAAGGCAAAGTGAGGAAGAACCAAGGAACAACACCGCCAACTACCTCGGGATGTGCCAGTGATGGTAAGCGGCCTCCCAATTTCAGAGGCAGTGAAACGGATGGAACGAGGACCTTAGGCAGTGACAGGAACGCTCTCGCAGCCACTTCCCATGTGGCCTTGACTCTGACCTTCGCTTGTGCACTGATGTGGGTCTTTCCAAACAATGCATCTGTGCAAAAACCAAGCTCACTGCAGAAAACCCAAAGGCCCGTGAGCACCAGGCTCCTGCACAAAATCACCCAGGAGACCCATGCTCAACAATGACTGCAAAGAGAAGGTAAGAGGCAGGGAACTGGGTGAATGGAAACAGAAGCACCAGAGCGGAAATCAAGTGAACAGTGCAACGGCTGCTGCTGCACAACTCACGTGGAGATTGCTGAACGGGAACTAGACCGCGGTGCACGCCTCGGCCGAAAACAGCTTAAAAACCCAAAGTGCGTCTTGCACACGCAGCCACGAGGGCAGAGCAGTGACTCTGGGTGGCGTGTGTGAGGACACCTGGGAGCAGAGATGGGTGAGGGGTGCGGAGGTGTGGCCTTTTCCATCCGGGACACTCAGACACCTGCACGTGGTTCCCGTGGCCACGCGAAGCCCCTCTGGGACAGTCAGATGGAGTGGAGTGCCAGGCGCCTTGCATGGGGTCCCCTGGACAGGCACCAAGCCCTGCCCAGTCCACTCACCTGTCTCAAGCCCCACCCAGGTGGGCTGTGTGCTCAGGAGGAGCCCAGCAGGGGAGCAGAGGACCCCACAGACTGGGGAGAGCAGGGCCCTGAGGATGCGAGCCCAGTGTCAGGGGTACGACTCCTCCCGGATGAAACTCCAAGCCCACCCGGGCTTGACAGCAAGTTGATATCCGCCTTAGTTCCTTAATGTTCACAGAAATTCTCATTTTTAGCACGGATAATTTTAAACCATCTCCAATCCACCTTTCCTGGCAAAGAGCAGAGGCGTCCTGCTCCCACAAAGAGAGCCACAGACGGTCTCAATCTGCTGTCACCCCTACTGAGTGGTGACGGAGCAGGGGCCCAGTTCCGTAGTGGTGACTGCCTTGTGACGCAGTTTTTTAATCTAACAGACCAACCTCTTCCCTCTCCCACAGTCACTCAACACCCACCAACCCTGTAGACCGGTGTGGCCCGCAGCCCAGCACCTACACCTTCCAGGAGAGGCTTGGCCCAACCTCTCCTCTCCCTCCAGACCCACTGGACCTGGGTCTGCTGTTCACGTGACCCACTGGACCACGTCCGCGGGCTCACATACGTGAGCCACGGGATGGGGTCTGCACGCTCACAGCATCTGCACACTCGCGTGTCCTGGGGAAGATGTCTGTGTGCTCACGTGCATGACCCTCGGGATGGAGGGGATTGCCGTTCAGAGTATGTCTGTGCTCACGTGACCCTCCAGATGGTGGGAGTCCACGTGCTCATGTGACATGCCGGAGCGAGGCTCACCAGCCCCCAGAACAGCTGTTTTTGAGCCGCTGGTCCCAGCAGCGTCCCCAGCCCTCCCATTCGGCTCACAGTCATCATTGATGCCCAACAAGGGCAAGTCAGGAGATGGCACTCAAAAGCCCAGCTCCCAGCTTCTCTCAACCGGACACAGGCAGGGCGGCCCCGGAGCCAGCTCTCCACCTCCCGGCCCCCACCGTACAAACTCATCCTTAGTCCTAAGGCATGTGACTGCTATCCAGAAGGCTGGCGGTTCAAACCCACCAGCCACTCCTGGGAAGGAAGGTTGGGCAATCTGCTTCCGTAGTGATACCGCCTGGGAAACCCCAAGAGGGGTCGCTATGACTTGGCTCTGACTCAACAGGCACATAACAACAACAACAACTGAGGTCCTTCAAGCAGTGAAGTCATTGACACTTAGGTGTGAATGCCACTTAGGTGGCAGGGACTGACACCTGCCAGGTGGGATCCCACCCAGGGGCATCTGTATTTTTAAGAGAATTTTTCTCTGCTACAAACTTTGTTTGCCTTCAAGCGAAGCCCTGACTAAGCCTCAGGTTGCCATGGCCCCGTGAGCAGTGACAGACGTGTTCTGAAGCAGAGACAGCAAGGTGCAGTCCAGAGGGAGGGCTGCAGCCCCTCTCGCGCCAGACAGCCACCTCCGCGGTCCCGTTTGCCCAGGAGGGAAGGTTGGGAAGGCTCCCTATTGTCCCCTGGCATGGTAACAGTGGGCTGGTAATGAGGTCCGTCAGATGTGTGCTGTGCCAGCCCAGTCCTGCACCCCATCACTGGCTGAAATGCTCGGCACACCCTGAGCCCGTCTTCCTGGGTCAGCACCCTCAGTGACACCTGATCTAAACACACAGGCATGACCAGGACCCGGCTGTGGATGAGCAGGCCCCCACAGCTCAGGGAGGGTGTCAGAGGCTGGCACCATGGCCTGCCTCTGCCCGGTGAGCCCCCAAGGGCTGCATCTGCCCTGTGCCCTGGAAACCAGAAGCAAGGGAGCTGTTGCCAGTGACCCTCCAGCAGGGGAGCCCCACAATGCCCCTTAGCCACGAGGACCTCTGTGGCCAGCAACGCACGTGTCGGCCGGGCTCCGGGCATTGGTGGGCACCTCCCACTCTCCACGTGGCACCCCGCGGCCCCACAGCGGCTCACCTCCAGTGGGACCACCTGCATGAGGATGGCGAAGTTGGTGAGGTGCGTGCAGCGGCAGACAGAGTAGCTGAGGTTCCCCTCCACGAGCACACAGCCCTGGTCCGACCAGACGCCTTTCCCGGAGCTGCAGGCACATGACGGAGGTCAGCGGGCGCTCCCAGCCCAGCACCCTATCCTGGCCAGTGGCCAAGACAGTGGCTCCCTGTCCCACCCCCAGTCACAGGTAAGGGCCAACCGGGTGGCAGGGCTAGAGAGCGTCTCCTGTCTGGGGTTTCCCTGCTGGGAGCAGGCCAGGACACTGCGCTGGCACAGTCACATTGTAAGTGGTGGGATGTGTGTGCCCTGTAAGCCAGCAACCCCACTGTCAGTGTCCAGGAGGTGTAGGCTGGGCACACGTGCCCGGGACGTGCAGGTGACGGGCCTGCTAGAGACTGCATTGTTTATCTATCTGTACTTTCTACTGTGGAAGTTTACAGAGCAAATAGCTTCCCGTTTAACAGTTTATGCACATTGTTTGCTGACATTGGTGGCAGTCCCCTCAACGTAACAGCACCCTTCCCACCTCTTCCCTGGGTTCCTCGCTTCCCTCTGCCCATCCTCACTGCCCCTTCTGTCTTCTGACTTTGTTTTGGGGCAAAGGCTGCCCTTTGGGACTCGTGTGCTTGACTGCTCCAAGCAGCACGTTTGTCACGTCTGTCACTGCTCCCTTCATAGGCCTGCCTGTTGTTCTGCTGTAGGGTGGCCCCGCGATGGGTTCACTTCCAGGCTTGAAGACGTGTGAGGACCACAGTCAGGGGTTCCACCAGTCTCTGTCAGACCAGTAGGTCTGGTCTATTTTATGATTTTGAAGTTTGTTCTCTGTTTTTTTTTTCTTTCTCTCTCCAGGACCTTCTATTACGATCCTGATCAGAGTAGTCAGTAGTGGTAGCCGGGCCCCATGTAGTTAGACACTGTGTTAAATAACCAGGCAGGTGGTTCAAACCCACCAACCACTCCTCAGAAGGAAGGTTGGGCAATCTACCTCCATAAAGATTTACTGCCTCAGAAACCCAAGGAGAGGTCACCATGAGTCGGCTCTGACTTGAAGGCAGTGAGGGTTGAGAGTATATACTGTGTACAGATGTGGTATATACTATGTACAGATGTGGTACAATTGTGTACAGATGTGGTATATACTGTGAGTCAGCTCCGACTTGATGCCAGTGAGGGTTGAGAGTATATACTGTGTACAGACGTGGTATATATACTGTGTACAGATGTGGTATATACTGTGAGTTGGCTCCAACTCAACGGCAGTGAGGGTTGAGAGTATATACTGTGTACAGATGTGGTATACATTGTGTACAGATGTGGTATATACTGTGTACAGATATGGTATATACTGAGTTGGCCCAACTCAATGGCAAGGAGGGTTGAGAGTATATACTGTGTACAAATGTGGTATATACTGTGTACAGATGTGGTATATACTGTGAGTTGGCTCCAACTCAATGGCAGTGAGGGTTGAGAGTATATACTGTGTACAGATGTGGTATATACTGTGCACAGATGTGGTATACACTGTGTACAGACAGATGTGGTGTATACTGTGTACAGATGTGGTACCCTCAGTTGTTCTAGGAGATAACTAGTTGCCTAAGGCAGAAATAGCGATGTATTGTACGTTTATGGCATCCGTAAAAGTAAAATGTGTGACGATAACAGGACAAAGGAGGGCCGGAGGAATTGTGAAACACTGTTGTAGTGTCTCACACTCATGTGGACTGATCTAAGGTTATGTGCAAGTAAAGGCAGGTGGATAAAGACATATACTGTAAACCCTAGAGAAAGCCTGAAGAAAAAAAGGAAAGAAAGTCTAAATTTGAAGCGATACTGAAGATAAAATGGAATCATAAAAAATACCCCAAAACCCAAATGAAGTCAGAAAAAAACATGAGACAAAGAAAAGACAGCAAAATTAGAAAACAGCCAGCCAGATGGTAAGTGTTAGCCGCTAGCAAGAGTTACAGACAGAAAGCAAATTCAACACAAAGCAATCCAAAGGAAGGGAATTAACAAAGAGGGTGAACTGATGAAATGAAAACAGAAACATAATGGGGAAAAATCAGTGAAACCAACAGTTGTTCCATTGAAAAACATCAATAAAATTTACAGGCTTCTAGTGAAAGTGCAAGAAAGAGAAATATCAAAAATGAAAGAGGGACATCACCACCGATTCTGTCTACAGACACGAAAAACACTGGTAACGGAGTATTACAGACAACACTCATTAACAACCTGTGACATGCAGACTACAAAGCCTTGCTCAAAGTGCAGATGACTCGAAACACTGATGAAGATCAAAGACTTCAGTCTGCAGTATGGATTACATCTCAAAGAAAATGAAAATCCTCACAACTGCACCAGTAAGCAGCATCATGATAAACGGAGAAAAGATTGAAATCATAAAAGATTTCATTTTACTCGGATCCACAATCAACACCAATGGAAGCAGTAGTCAAGAAATCAGATGTCATATTGCACTGGGCAAATCTGCTGCAAAGGACCTCTTTAAAGTGCTGAGGAGCAAAGATGTCACTTTGAAGACTAAGGTGTGCCTAATCCAAGCCTTAGTATTTTTAAACACCTCATATGCACGTGAAAACTGGACAATGAATAAGGAAGACCAAAGAAGAGCTGATGCTTTTGAGTTGTGGTATTGTCGATGAGTACTGAAAGTACCGCGGACCACCAGAAGAACTAACATCTGTCCTGGAAGGAGTGCAGCCAGAATGCTCCTTGGAAGTGAGAATGGCCAGACTTCGTCTCACCTACTTTGGTCCTGTTGTCAGAAGGGACCGTTCCCTGGAGAAAGATACCATGCATGGTAAAGGGGGAAGGCCCTCAACAAGACGGACTGACACAGTAGCTTCAACGACAGGGTCACGTATGGCAAGGATCGTGAGGCTGGCCCAGGACCGGGCAGTGTTTCCCTCTGTTGTGAGGGGTTGCTGTGAGTTGGAGCGTCTCAACGGCACCTAACAACACCACCACCACGAACAACACTATCTCCATAAATTAAACAACTTAGGTGAAATGGACAGCTTTCTCAAGAAACACTAACTGCCAAAATATCCCCTCAAGTCCTCTTAAAACGAAACATTATCTTAACTTAATTACTGAATCATGTCTGCTTTGAGTTTTATGCTCTTTGAAGAACTACCTACGTGGAACCAAACTGACGAGAAATTAGACCAGACAGGAGCCTTGGGGGCAGTGAGCTTACGTCCAGGGGGAGGAACAACTCAGAAAAGGAGGGTGAGGAGGGTCGCAGAACTGGAAGACAGTCGTCGGTGTCTGGGCGCTGTCCGTGGAGAAGACGTCAAGTCGCTGTGTGTTCTCAACAGCAGCAACAACAAAGTGAATTAAATTTGAAAAGCAGCCTTTAAAAATCCAAATAAAAAAGAACAGAAAGAAACCCCACAAACTGCCAAACCAAACCCACTGCCACAGAGTTGACTCTGCCTCATAGTGATTCTGTAGGACGGAGCAGAACTGCTCTGTCTTAAACGGGGGCAGACCGCCTCATCTTCCTCCCGCAGATTGGCTGGTGGGTTCGAACCACCGACCTTTCAGTTGGCAGCCAAATGCTTTAACCACCATGCCACCAGAGCTCCTGACAAAACTTCCTTAAAGAGAAATAGATGAACTAAATAGTTCTGAATCCATTAAAGAAATGGAATGTGTCATTAAATACCTGCCAACAAAGAAAACTACAGCCTCAGATGGCTTCCCTGGTGAATTCTATCAAACATTTATGGGAAAAGCACTATGAATTCTATGCAAGTGATTCCAAAATGCATTAGAAAGTGTACCTTTCACAGAGGTACCATGACCCTGATCCTAAAACCAAAGACATTACAAAAAAAAAGTGAGAAACGCGGAACTACAGACTACCTGTACTCATGAACATAGGGAAAGTATCTCAGCAAATTAAAAGGGATAATCCATTGTGACAATGGAGACTGCTTCCAGGAATACCAGCTGGTCCGACATGTGGCTTTACTTATCACCACCCAAAACAGGAAACAACGCGAACGGTCCTCCCTGGAGAGAGGATGAACAGACGCAGCAGCGCCTGTGCGGTGGGACACTCCGTGGTAATGACCGGGAAAACACGTGCCCTGTGCCTGGGCACAGCACGGACGCTGCGGTGCCAAGTGGAAGAAGCCAGACTCAAAAGGCCGCACACGCTGTGATTTCATTTCCTTAACGTTCCAGCAAAGGGAACACTCGGGGACAGGACGCCGGCCAGGGGCCAGGGCCGAGGTTGGGAGAAGGAGACCACAGATGCGTGCAGGGTCCGGGACACAGGTACGCTGGGCATCCCCGCACGGTGCAGCCACGCCGGCTCCAGACACAAGTGATCAGGGCCATGAGTGGAGTGGGGCCAGGCGTGGCCTGACTCCTGCCCTCCCTCACGGCCCACTGTTGCCGTGGAGCCAGGCCCGTCCCCCCAGGCCCAGGACCTGAAGTCCAGGAAGGCCCAGTGTTGCTGTGGAGCCAGGCCCGTCCCCCCAGGCCCACTACCTGAAGTCCAGGAAGGCACACTGTTGCCGTGGAGCCAGGCCCGTCCCCCCAGGCCCAGGACCTGAAGTCCATGAAGGCCCACTGTTGCCGTGGAGCCAGGCCCGTCCCCCCAGGCCCAGGACCTGAAGTCCAGGAAGGCCCACTGTTGCCGTGGAGCCAGGCCCGTCCCCCCAGGCCCACTACCTGAAGTCCAGGAAGGCGCAGTACCAGAAGACTTGGCTGCTCTCACTGGTGGCCTGGGCAGTCTGCTTTTGTGTCTGGAACGAAAGAAGAGACATGCTCTGGGAAGCAGCTGAAGTGGGGGTGGCGTCCTCACGACCCAGGACTCCTGGGGTGGGGACACGCATCTCAGTCCTTGAGGTCAGTGAGGGCCTGGTGATCCGGGCCCCATCAGCCCAGCAGCCCGACTTGCAGCAGCACTGCCGACCTGCAGCTGCTGGCCTGGGCAGTCTGCTTTTGTGTCTGGAACGAAAGAAGAGACATGCTCTGGGAAGCAGCTGAAGTGGGGGTGGCGTCCTCACGACCCAGGACTCCTGGGGTGGGGACACGCATCTCAGTCCTTGAAGTCAGTGAGGGCCTGGTGATCCGGGCCCCATCAGCCCAGCAGCCCGACTTGCAGCAGCACTGCCGACCTGCAGCTGCTGGCCCACGGGGCCCCCCGACCCGAGTGTGCACATGGCTCTGCTCGCCCACCTCAGGGTCGCACGCTGCCACCATCACACCACCCATCACGCCGCCCCTCCGGCAGAAGAGGTGAGCACCACGCCTTCTCCTGCCACGGGGTCTTCTCCCAGCACCCACGGCACGCTCCCAAGCGCCCACGGCAGCGGTGTGGTGCCCTCCCAGACAAGCCTCCCTGGAGCTCGCAGAGTCCCGAGGGCTGTGAGAAGGCGTGTGCAGCCCTCAGCGTGGACAGCTGAGAGGAGGAGCTGGCCCGGGAAGGCCACACTGTGTGACTGGGACTCCGGAACATTCCAGAAAAGGCAGAGCTGCAGAGGCTGTGAAGGGACCAGGCTCGTCGGGGCCAGGGCAGGCGGGCGGCCAGAGCACAGGGATGCCTGGGGTGCCTCTGCAGGACACCGGGGCGGTGGGCACCGGGCATTACACACAGGTCAGCCCGTGGGGCTGCACAGCACCCAGAGAGAGCCCTCACATGAGCTGTGAGCCTTAGCTCCTCACCCAGCTACCAGTTACCATCGAGTGGACCCCGGCGTGTGGCGACCCCTGAGTCAGAGAGGAGCTGCGCCCCACGGGGTCTCCAACGGCTGAGCTTCCAGCACGGCACCCAGAGAGAGCCCTCACGTGAGCTGTGGGCCTTAGCTCCTCACCCAGCTACCAGTTACCATCGAGTGGACCCCGGCGTGTGGCGACCCCGTGAGTCAGAGAGGAGCTGCGCCCCACGGGGTCTCCAACGGCTGCGCTTCCAGCAGTGGATCACCAGGCCTTTCTGCAGGGCGCCCTGGGTGGACTCAAACCTCCCCTCAGCAGTGGGTGCTTGACTGCGGGTGCCCCCCGGGGACTCCTTCCTGGGACTTTGCACAGGAGAGACTGGAACACGCAACACCCACATCTCAAAAGCACAAAGCACATCTAGCGATGAGGACGCCCATATCTGTGACATCGGGGGTTGAGGCTCCCTGAGCCCTGGCAGCCCCAGCCCATCCTAAATGGAGCCATGAGTGTGATTTGTTCTTCACAAAGGTGTGCGTTACTTGTGCAACTTAGACACACTTAGAGCTAGTTGGTGCCCAGTGGAAGCCCGCGACCAGACGCACATGTCCCGCTCAGCACCAAGAGGTCCCCGAGATGCCGCCCCCTTCTCCTGTTTCCCCAGTCACGCCTGGAAGCGGAGCAGGGCCTGGACGCCCTCCAGAACCAGGCACCTGGACTCCGGATCCGAATCGCTCTTCACAGGAGAGCAACCAGCCATAACCCCCGACTCCAGGCATGTGTATGTGTGTGCGTGTGCGTGCACCTGCGTGTGTGTGGTCTGAGGATGAAGGAGGCAATGGGGCACACGGAGGCTAGGCCGGGACTGCACCCCACACCAGAGGTCCCACGGGGGCTGGAGGGCAGCCGCTCCTCCCGGTCACAGTTCACAAAGGAACTGGGACAAGGTCTCTCCACTGCTCTCCAAAAGAGTTGGCCCAGAACGTTCCAAGATCAGCGTCAGAAGCAGGTTTGTCAACCAGCTCAGGGCATCGCCCGGGCAGAGGGGAGTCATCTGCGTAGTGGCCACAGTTCATGGAAAAACGAGGGTGTGCCAACAGCCCCTCAGCCTCCCACAGGCCGGGCGAGAGAGGAACCAGTGCAGCTGCTCCCCCCACGGTGGGAACAGGAGCAGGAGCCCGGGGCACCTTCATGCAGGCTGGAGAAAGTGGCATGGAACTTCCTCGTTCGTCCCGGGCCAGGACTCCGAGCTCTGAAGTCACTGTGTCCCTGCGGGGCTTACACGCACCCAGTGGGGGGTGTCATACTGCCTGAGGAATCTCCCGCAGGGCCCTCAGCACCACAGACGCAGAGACAGCTGTTGTTGTTGTTGTTGTGTGCCGTCGAGTCGGTCCCCACTCATAGCGACCACTCCTTGGGTTTCCGAGGCGGTATCACTATGGAAGCAGATTGCCCAACCTTCCCTCTGAGGAGTGGCTGGTGGGTTTGAACCGCCAGCCTTCTGGCTAGCAGTCAAGTGCCTTAGCTGCTGTGCCACCTGTTTATTGCCTCCTATGTAAGAGGCACAGTGTGAAGGCATTTGACTGCTAACCGCAAAGCTCAGTAGTTCAAACCCACCAGCCGCTCAGTGACAAGAAGATGAGGCAATCTACTTCCATAAAGATTTCCAGCCTGGGAAACCCAGTGGGGTCGCTATGAGTGACTTGGCCCCACGGCGGCGGGTTGTAAGGAAGGCCCCGCGGCAGCCTCCGTCCCCCAGAGCAGCCCCTTCAGGGAGGCGTGCAGCAGAGAGGAGAACGCAGACTCCAGGTCCGCCAACATCCTTGCTTGGAAGTCAGCTGGCTTTCTCTCTAAACATACAGCGTTTCCCATAAATATACTGGGGGTGGTGCTTGTCAATCACCGTCCCAAACAAAACAAGATGACACCTGGCCCTTCACTGTACCGTGTGCAACACGAAAAGCACCAGGATGTACCGCTCTGGGCCAAGCCGGACCATCGAACAATCCCATCTGGTTCCACCAGAACAGACCCGATCCACCCAGGTCAGCGCGGGTCTCGGCCAGCACCCGCCGTCCTCGCTGCCACCCATGCAGCCCCACGTCAGTCATCCCCCACCCACCCTCAGGGAAAGGCTTGTGGCTCTGCCCTTCACACAGTGAGGCAGAGCCATGATGGCGGCTAACCACCATGACAGCAGGGAAAGGCTGAACGGCCGTCCAGGGCACGGTGGGGTGGCGGACAAGGGGAGCCGTCATCTACCTCAGCCTCCAGGTGTTTTCTGACTTTGTTTCTTGCTCTCAGATTCCCCAAGCAGCCCAGCAGGGGTGAGGCAGCCCTCGGTGACAGGCGCTCAGGCGGAGCTCGGGCCCAGGCTCCGGCGCTCAGGGGCGGGTGGAGGGACAGAGACCCTGGCAGGGGGCGCTGGTGACAATGGCTGAGGGGAGGCTGAGCATGGCTGAGCAGGCAGCCCAGGAGCACCAAGCCCCCCGTACCCCCACAGCGCAGCACCCCTGCACGAGGGGCACCTGGGGAGGCAGGAAGTGCCTGGGTCACCATGGCTGCACAGGTGTGGTGCGCAGACCTTCCTGGGAACACCTCAGTGCGCCCAGTGTTCTGGAACCTTCCAGCGTGTCACCCCAGGACAACGCCTAGGCCCTAAATGCGGGAACCAAGCCTCCAACCGTGGGAAGGACACCTGGGCACGCCCACCCCAGGCCCTGAGGCCAGTAGAGGCCCCGGGACTTAGGGTTCCAGGTGCTGTCACCGCAGCGCTGATGAGCTCTGACCCCCTGGACGGTGAACAGCCCCAGGCGGTGCTCTTCTTCGTCCCTGAGGGGCTCCCCGACCTCCCGGACCGGCCCCCTCCAGCGCACACGGGGCAGCAGCAGGGCTGGACGCCGCAGACGTACACGGTCCAGAGCTCACGGCACGTGCTGTCCACCTAGGTCCCAGACGCTGGGTCTCTGTGTCTCACTGCCCACGTGGACCCTCTGGTCGGGGGGCAGAGCTCCCACCAGAATGGAGCCTGCGATTGTGGCCCCCCCTGCTTTCCCAGTTGATCTCCCCTCAGCTAAACCCACGAGTCCAACTGAGAGGAGGTGAGGCCCTGATTCTCTCTCCCAGCTACACGCCGCGTACACCTGCACACACAGGGGCACGTGGCAGCAGCTCTGCTTCTGGAGCGAGGTGGGCCCGGCGGCACAGATCTGCATCCCACGGCAGCCCTTGACCAGCCCCTCCCAGCCCTGCGCACACATGCACACTCCTGTGCACACGTGCACAATCACAAACACATGTACACCACACACACACACAAGCTCACGGCAGCAGCTCATACTGGAGTGAGGTGGGCCTGGCAGCACAGATTTGCATCCCTACGGCAGCCTTTGGCCCCTCTCAGCCCTGTACACATGTTCACACGTGCACACTCACACACAAACACATGTACACCACATACACACACACAAGCTCACGGCAGCAGCTCATACTGGAGTGAGGTGGGCCTGGCAGCACAGATCTGGAGCCCTACGGCAGCCTTTGGCCCCTCTCAGCCCTGTCCACATGTCCACACGTGCACACTCACACACACATGTACACCACACACACAAGTATGTGCAGCAGCTCTGGTTCTGGAGCAGCCTTTGGCCCCTCCCAGCCCTGTCCACATGTCCACACGTGCACACTCACACACACACGTACACCACACACACATACAAGCTTGTAGCAGTAGCTTGGCTCTGGAGCGAGGTGGGCCCGGCAGCACAGATTTGTGTCCCCACAGCAGCCCTTGACCGGCCCCTCTTGGCCCGGCCTCAATGGCGTCCTTGCCCCCTCAGCCCTGTGAGGGGATTACCATGCCTGTAGCCACTGGGCACCAGCTCTCTGACTGGGTCCCTGCCCAGACGGTTCTCACTGTCTTGCTGAGAGTCAACCCAAACACAGGTCATCTGGAGGCCTGGTCTGAGTCCAGGCCCCCCACACCGTGTCCCGTGGGGTGTTGTCGCCTCTGTGGAGCCACCTGCCTGGCAGGAGGTGAAGCACCTGAACCTGACTTCTCATCAAAAGGTGGACGATTTATGCATCC